TCCCACCCAGCCGCAGGACTCCACTGCCGCCCGCGCCCCGCCCCATCTGGCCGCTTGCGCGCCCCATCCCCCCTCGATGGGGCCCGCCCACACCGGGGCCTCCCCCCTCCCGCCCACTGCTTTCTCAACGGCCCCGAGCCGGGGCTGCCCTCATTGCATACATAGTGCGCCTTTCCCTGCTTTTCTAGTGACCTAGCGTTCCGCACTGCCGTTTGGCCAGCCCATGCTCCCGTACCGTTGCGTTTCTCCCCAATGCGCCATGCCACTTTGCCAGTCATACACACGTTTCGATGCGTGCCCTGTCAGCTGCTTGCGTTGCATGTCGCCTTGCTCCACCCCTGTTTTATTGCTTTCTCTGCTTTCGCCCGGTTCCCGTCCCGTTTCGGCGGGGAGTCTATGTTGCAAGCTAGTTCTTGCTTTACCAGACTTTAAGCCCACACAAGCAAGCAGGCCGTCTTCCTTCCTGCCCTTCTTTGCCGCTGCCTCACGCTCTCCTTCCAGTCATTTTTTTGCTGGCCACACTGTCTACGAGGTGTGGCATGCTGACAAGCTGCGGCGGGCGCTCGCCTCCACGTGCGGTCCTGCCGACATCTCTCCGCTCTGTCCCTTCTCTTTGCCTGCTGCACATTTAATTTCTCGCTGTTTGTCGCTAAATTACAAATGTTTTACTGCCGCCAAGCAGTAAAGCTGCTGGCTGCAACGTGCATTCAAACAGTAACGCATGACCGCAAGCTCCAATCATGGTGGAGAGAGAGCAATAGGTAGAGGCAGGGCGGATTTAAAAAGTTTTCATTGCAGTGGGTCAAGCGCAGCCAACAGTGTGGGCTACTGAGTCAATCGTCAACAGTCAGGGGTGCCACCCTGAGGCAGTCACCCAGCGGCTCACGTGTCCTCCACAGCACTGCACCCAGCCTGGTATGCACGCAGAGCCTCGGGCTCATTGCTGGGGTAGCTGCACAGCGAGGGGTGCAAACGGTGCAGCAGCTTCGGCACATGGCAGGCAGCGCTGTCTACACTCAGCACCCCGATGGCACCAGGCTGGGGCAGTAGACACGTTGCCGGTCTGGGGGGTGGTGGCGGTGGTCCGCACGATGGCAATGAAGGCACCTGCACAAGAAGGTGCCGGGGCCGAGTGGTGGTGGTGGGCATGCTGGTCAGAACACAACTCCACCAATGGGCTGGGTCCTCCCTTGCCACCCTTCAGCCGCCCTTTCCCTGATTACCCCCAAGCCACAAACTCGTGGGTGCACCGGGGCCCTTGTCGGGCAGGCACTTATAGCTCTCGTACGTGCCTGCAGAATGCCAGCGACCCAGTTAGTGAGGACATCCGGGTGACACCCACCAGCACCGCCAGGCTGCCTTAGCAGAGCTCCCTGTGCCTCACCGACTTCTGTCGTCATGTAATCGTCATACGAGTTGGCCATGCCGGTGATGTAGGTGAACGAGTAGCCGCCCTCCACCTGCACTCCCTCCTCGCTCGCCTCCATCGAGTGCCAGCCTCCTTCCAGATGTGGCGGCCCGCCCTCGACGTCAAAACTGATGTCGACAGCGGGGGCGCCGCGGCAGGTGCGGCCAGGAGGACGAGCGCACCCAAGTCCCATAGCAGCGGCGTGCACATGGTGGTGGATGGCGTGTGTATCTGCAGGTGCAGGGGGCGGGGCAGGCAGGTTGGGGATAGGCCGACATGGCGTGCACATGCCGCTGCCGGAACCCGCAGGAACACCCAACCTGTGTGCATGGACGGATGTGCAGTGGGTTGAATACCGAGGATGCGATGAACATCAATGTCTTACGTGTGCGTGCTGCGTGCTGTGTTGTGCTGTGCTTCCGGACAGCGGATTGCCACATATGTGATCGGAATGTCGTCTTCGCAGAGGTCCCAGGGACCTCGCACGCCCAGAGGCACTGCAAGCCGAGGCAGGGCGAGAACTGCACACCAACTCATCAATAGCGCAGCTGTTTGCCAGCGCTATGCCCGCAAACGGCTCCCTGGCATCCACTGGTTCATTAACCAACACCGCATACGCCAGGCGTGTGCAGCCTGTGGTGCAGTGGCGACGACGGCAGCGGCGATGGCGGCCCCCGCCTGTGGCAGCAGCCGAACCTGACAAGGGCCCCCTGTCCTTGCAGGCATCCAGCAGTGATGCATGTGACAGTCACGGTAATAGCAATAGCAGCATCCCCGCTTCACTAGGCATCCTGCGGCGTGCCGTGCTGGCAGCAGCAGCGGCAGCGGCAGCCATGGCCGCACCCTCGCTGCCAGCGGCAGCCAGCAAGCTGCCAGAGGCGGTGGACCGTGTCTGGGAGGGGCTGGGTGGCGGACCTGCCGACCTGGTGTTTCCAGGTGGCTTCTGATGTGCCATCGATGGAGCCAGCCAGAGTTGCCTGCCCACTGGCACCTGTGTCGCTGCCATGTTTGGCCTGCCGTGCCGTCCTACCCCTCCTCCCTGGCTGGACTGCCTGCAGACGAGTTCCTGGGCGTGTGGGAGGTGGACAGCGTGCTGACGCTGGTGGAGCTCCCCCTGGGACCAGAGTTTGTGCCTGACATGCGGGTTTGTGCGGCGGCTCGGTTCGTGCTTCTCTACCGTTGTTGGAACTGTGGTGATGCAGGTGGCGTCCGCCGGCGCTCCATGGCTGGCCACGGCGGCGGCCGCACCTGCTGTGCAGGTGGTGCAGCGGGCGCAGCAGGAGGACTTGAATGCGCTGGTGCAGTACCAGGCCGCCTTCCTGCAGGTACAAGCAGTATCCCACAGAGCCGGGTGCATCCTGCACTGCTCCCAGCCAGGCTGCGCCAGCCCCCTCAGTCCCGCTCACCGCCCCGTCGGCTGCTGCAGAACGGGCGGGGCGAGGTGGTGCCGGACCGGCGGTTCAACACAGCCAGCCTGATGCGAACGTACGCTGGCACGGCGGCGGCGGAGATTGAGTGGGATCCCGACGACCCAAACCAGCTGCAGCTGCAGATGCCTGGGGGCTTGCAGGTGGGCCACAGCTGGCTGGTGCCACTGCCTGTGAGTGCATGCGGGCTGGGCCACCGGCAGCACCATCCTGCCCCGCACCCGGCAGTGCCCACGGTTGCACCTTCTCACTGCCGCACCCATGCTGTGGGCGCCCGCGCCGCCAGGTGTCCACCCGGGTGACTCGGCGCTCAGAGGAGCAGCCTGCCGCCGACCGCCTCACCACCTCTGAATACTTCCAGCAGCTCATCTCCGCCCCACAGCAGCCGCAGCCCAAGGTGGGCGGGTGCTGCTAGCGGGCGGGCCTGCTGAGTGGGGGTCTGGGCATGCCAATGTTGACAGTACTATGCACTGCCCCCCGCTTTGTTGAGCAGGTCAAGGCCAGCCGCTGCCTCACCAAGTATCACTGGCGCAGCCCCGCCGACGCGGCGGCGGGCGGCGGCGGCGGCGTGCAAATAGTGGCCACCCAGGTGCGGTCCTCTGGGTTGTGGGCATCGGCGGATGGCTGCCTGTGTGCTGTCACTCGACCGCAGAGCCGGCTGCGCTGCTGCGGCTGCTCCCAGGTGTATCGTCACCGCCCTCGGCTACCACCCAGCCCTGTTCCTGACCATCGCATCCCACCCAACACACCCACACACCCCACCCTGGCACCTGCGCAGGTGGTCTCCGACTACCTCACCGCCTTTGACGACCCGGCGGCCATGATGGAGGCGCAGGGGCGGCCCGTGGTGGTGTACACCTATCGCATGGCCTTCCGGCGAAGCCAGGCGGCGGCGGCGGCGGGCTGAGGCGTGGCGCCGGGTGGCAGCACCCTGCTCTATGTGCTTGTTGGCCTATGCCTGCCTGCTGTGTAACTCCCGGGTATGCCTTGGGGCGCGTGCAGGCGGGGGTGGCGGGGCGGTGGGAGGGCGGTTAGGGCGGCGGGAGGGCAGCCGCCGCTGCATAGTGCCGGAGCCGGCTGAGGAGTCCTTGATTGATTTCAGGCTTTGATACAATTGCGCAATAGAGTATAGGGCCACCAGGGAGGTTGGGGTGTGGGAGTCCACGTAGGCGGCGCACTGCAGAACTGCCGACGCATTGGGCCTGCGCACCTGCACCGCCGCAGACCCAATCAACGGCGGAATTCCCTGAAGGCAGGCCGCAAGCATAACTCCCCATCCAAGGGCTTTTGCTCGGGGCTTTGCTCGGGGCCTTCTCCGCGGCGCCATGCACGACAGCAACAGAAGGGTGCTGCGCGAGGCCCGCGCCATCCGCACCAGTGACCACTATGCGGCCGTCGCCGCCGCCAGCGGCGCCGCCAGCGGCTACTCGCCCCGCCCCTCCTCAGACATGGAGGCCGGCCTGCTGGGGGGATCCATCCAGGGTGGCTCCCCCAGGACCGACAGCACCACCGATGGGCACACGGGCAGGGGGCTACCGCGCCGCGACTCGCGCACGCTGTGGAGCCTCGTGAGGCGCAAAGTCGGTGCGCAGGAGGCGGAGCGCCGGCCTGCGCCCCTGCCCAGCCCCGTGCTGTGGATGTGCGCTGGAGTTGCCTGTCACAGATCAACATTCGGTCACATGTAGCCCGCTGCCGCGACCATCTCACTGCCCTTGGTCGGCCTCGCTGCGTACTGCAACCCGTGCGCCAGCCAAGCGTCCCCCGCCCGCCCGCCCGCCTGCCCGCCTGCAGGCCTCTCTCTGCGCGAGTACTCCACGGCAGAGGAGGAGGGAGAGGAGGAGGGAAAGGGCCGGCCGGTGGGCTACGTGGTGCGCTCCGGCGTGGGCGCCAGCCAGCCGGCGCCCTCCTGGCAGCGCGCCGCAGACCTGAAGGAGGGGCCGGGGGGTGTGGTGGCGGATCTCTTTGTGCGCCTGGTCACAGGCAGGGGCCTGGGCACGGGCACCGCGCTGCGCCCGCCGCCCACGCCGCCAAACGGCATGCAGCCCACGCCCGTTGCGCCAGGTGCGCTGCTGCACGCCGCCTGGCCACAGCCGCGGCGGCACGCTGCTGCGGCGCGGGGCGCAGCCACGCGATGCGGCCCTCTGCGCCAGCCATCCTGCACTGCTGCTTGTACAGCATCCGCGGGCCGGCACTCCCGCCGGCGCCGGCGCCCTCTCAAGTGTCAAGGGGTGCGGGCCCCGCGGCCCATGCGCCTGTGAAGCACCCCTTTGCCGGACCCTGCCGCCCCCCACCCTCCCGCAGGCGCGTGGGCTCCGCGCGCCGATGCCGCCGCCGTGTGCAGCATGCTCACCTCCTCCTGGGTCAACCTGGTGCTCATCTGCCTGCCCATCGGCCTGTGGGCGGGGCTGACGGGCACAAACGCCATGCTCACCTTTGTCATGGTGCGCCAGCTGGCGGATGGCGGCAGGGGGTGGTGTGGGGGGGCCTTGCGGGAGAGGGGCCCTGGAGGTACTGGCCCCGGAGGGGATGAGGCGCCCGGAGAACAGCCAGGATCAGATGGGGTCGCTGGGAGCGCTGGAACAGCCTCCCACGCTCAATCTGCTGCCACGTTGCTGCAATGCTGCTTGCCAGGAGCCTCGCTCGCCGCCCATCTCACCGCCCAACTCACCCCCCGCACACACCACACCACACCACCCCTCAACCTGCCGCCCGCAGAACTTCCTGGCCCTCATCCCGCTGGCGCTGTTCCTGGGTGAGGTCACCGAGGACCTGGCGGTGAGGTTTGGGGACACCATCGGCGGCCTGCTCAACGCCACCTTTGGCAACGTGGTGGAGCTGTGAGCGGGGTGTTGTGTGGGTGTGGGTGGGTGGGTGGGTGGGGGGGGGGGGAGCCACAGGTTGAGGGCGGCCAACCAGCCGCACCAACATGCCCACCATCACACTCCACCCCGCCCCACCCCGCGCCGCAGCTTCCTGTCCATCGCTGCGCTGCACAAGGGGCTGTACGAGGTGGTGGCCGCCTCCCTGCTGGGGTCCATCCTCTCCAACCTGCTGCTGGTGCTGGGTGAGCGCCGCCGCCGCTGCCGTGGCGCCGGGAGGGGCGGCAGCGGGCCGGTTCCGGGGCCCTCTCCTCGGCAGACCACACGCGTCTCCGCCGCTGTATCCATCTCGCTGAGACTGCCTGCCTGCCTGCCCTACCTGCGCCGCCCCTCCCCAGGCACCTGCTTCCTGTTTGGCGGCATGAAGTACAAGGAGCAGCGGTTCAGGTGTGGTGGGGGCGCTGCTTCAGTGGCCTGGCATATGCCTGTCGCTGTCCTGCGCCCCACCCCACACAACGCGCAGTCTGCCGCAATCACTCCTGCTCTTCTCAAACCCCTCACACCCGTCCCTTCACCATTGTCACTCCCTGTAGTACTCTGGCAAATAAAATGGCCTCCAGCTTGCTCTTCCTGGCCTGCATAGGCATCATGATTCCCTCCACGGCCAGGGTCGTGTACGGCCGCCACGTCATGACAGGTGGGCGGGGCGGGCAGCGGGGCGGCTGCTGGCGAGGTGGGGCGGGGAGATGGCGAGGCACCGCCACCAGCACTGGACGGAGCACAAGGCCCGACACCTGGCTGGCTAGCGTCGCTTCGTGCGCGGAATGCTGCCTGGCTGTCTGAGTGTCCCACCCCGGCCCCCAGACGCCTGCAGAGCAAGTGCTGCTGCACCTCAGCCGCGCCATCGCCATCATTCTCGTGGGCATGTGAGCCGCATAGCATGCAGGCATCTCTCCGCGGCTCCTGCTGCCACCACCTGTTGTTTGCTGCTTGCAGGAACAGGTGTTCCGTGCTGTCCCCTCGCACCCTCCAACTGCCCCTGTTACCCTCTGTGCCCGCCTGTCTTCTCACCTGCCTGCTCGCAGCTACCTCTGCTACCTCTTCTTCCAGCTGGGCACACACCACGACCTGTTTGCGGTGGGTGCCTCTGCCTCCGTAGCTGCCTGGTAGCGGGTTGGCATGCGTGTCGGCCCGGTGCCAGCGGCAGAACATGCATCTGCACAGCAGACGGCAGTGATACATGCAAGCTGCCTGGCGGTGAAGCAGCCTCTACCGGCATGCCTCCCTTGGCGCAGGGCGACAGCTCCGAGGATGGCGAGGTGCCGGCGCTGAGCCTGGCGGGCGCCATGGCCTGCCTCACCCTCATCACCGTCATCGTGGCAGCCTGCTCAGGTGGGCTGGCCCCGGGAGGCCGGTGTCGTTTTGTCGGCGGTGCAGCGGGCGCAGCAGCGCATCTATGGCGGGCAGACATGCAGGCAGGCTTCCGCCGAACCACCACTTCCCTGGGTTGTGAGGAGCCTGTGAGCCAAGCAGCCAGCCCACCTGCCCGCCGCCTCCTGCTCACCTGCTGCCCGCCTCCTGCCTCCTGCCCACCTGCCCGCCGCCTGCCTCCTGCCCTCCACCCGCAGACTTCTTGACGGGAGCGATCGTGGAGGTGAGCGCGGTCAGCGGCATCAACCAGGCATTCCTGGGCCTCATCGTGCTGCCCATAGCAGGCAACGTGGCGGAGCACGTCACGGTGGGTGGGTGGCGCGGCTGTGGAGGGGCCGCCAGGGCTGCCTGACGTGCGGGGTGGCGCAGGCAGCACCTGCGCGTGCGACGTGCTGCAGGCGCTGCCGGGGCTGGCAGTACGGCCGCCTTCTGTCGTGATCCACGCCTTGACGCCCGGCGCAGCTCCCACACAAACACATACCCTTCCCACCGCCCTGGCCCGCCGCTGCCGCAGGCCGTGTTTGTGGCTGTCAGGAACAAGATGGACCTGTCTATCGCGGTGGCCCTGGGCTCCTCCACGCAGGTAGGCATGCTCCCCGGCCTCCCTCCACCCCGGCTCGCCTGTGGCTGACAGACCAGCTGCGAAACCGGCGGGCCGTATTGCCTGCATTGCGGTCGCAGCTGCCGTGGAAGCACCTGTAGATCCTCAGGCGGGCATGCCGCCGCTGGCTGGTGCCGCAGGTGGCCATCTTCATTGTGCCCGTCACGGTACTGGTGGGGTGGGCCATCGGCGAGAAGTTCACGCTCGACTTTGACACCTTTGCGGTGCTCATGCTGACGGGTGGGTGGGCGGCTGGGCGGCGTGCGGTGGCGTGCTGCTGCGTGGGGCGCTCTTGCTGATTGGCAACGTGCCCTGGCGCTGTCAGCGCGGCGCGCTGACCCCACACCGCTGCCAGGTGAGGTTTGCGTGAGGGTGACCCCCGCTGCGCCCGACCTGCCTGCAGTGGCGGTCATCCTGGCCTACTTTGTGTGCAGCGACGGTGCCTCCAACTGGCTGGTGGGGCCTGCTGGGCTCGCCTGCCGCTGGCGCTGCAGCCCGCGCGCGTGCGCCCCACCTGCCTGCATCCAACCTTCAGCAAACTCCCCTCCCTGCCTCCTTACCGTCCCTTCCTCTCCTCCCCGCCCCTCTGCCCTGCAGCTGGGCTTGCAGCTGGTGGCCACGTACTGCCTCATCGGGGCGGTCTTCCTGCTGGAGAGGGAGCCCGCGCCCACGCCAAGCGGCGGCGACAGCGGCAAGCAGCCGTACGCGCCGCTGCTGCAAGGCCTGCTCTAGAGGCGGCGGTGGTGGGAGGCCGCCAAAAAATAGATGTTTTGATTGTGCTAGCGCTGGCAGCCCCACCTCCTACCGAATTGTCATTCCCAACCTACACCTCTGTTTATCCCGATGCCTCTACTCATCACTGTCCCACACCACATAAATTTGCACGATCGTCGCTACCTTTTGCTGTAATTCTTTTGTTACAATGTGGCAGCTGACAGGCAGGCTGGGAGATGAGCGCACTGCCGCCAGCGCCCGCCCCGCTGGCGGGCCAGCTGGCATAGCCCTCTTGGTCCTTGGGCAACGCCCTGCAACCCACTGCGGTCCCAAATCCATGTGGCCGTTTAGCGGGCCTGCTGGAGCCTCAGCGCCTGGTCCCAGCTTCGCTCCTCTCAAATGACCTTGGCTCTGCACCGGGCCGGGCGCCCCTCGGCCTGGCACACCACCAGCGAATGCCGACCGCGATGCCGACCGGATCGACGCAGAGCGCGCAGGGTTGGCACCCCCGCAGCCGCCGCCGCCGCCGCCGGCGGCGCTGCCGCCAGTGACAATGCCGGCGGCGGCGTGCTGCCGGCTTTCCTGCAGAACCCGGCCATCGCCCAGCGCGAGCTGCTGCGCCAGTTCTACATGGCATCCACCAGTGAGGAGCAGCTGAGGCTGCTGCGCCAGGCCACAGGGGAGGCGCTGGACCTGGGGTCGAGGTGCGGCGCTCTGCTGGGCGGCACCGCCGCTAGCAACATCCTGCCGCTCGCCGGGCGCAGGTGGGGCGCAGCTGCCGCGCGGCTGAGCCGGCCCACCCATCCAAGCCCACCCGACGAGCCGAGAGGGAGCCCCGCCGAAGCCGGCGCCTGCAGCCTCGACCCTGCTGCCGCCGCTGTTGCTGCTGCCGCGGCGGCTTCTGTGTGTGCCGCTCTGGCTGCACATGCCACCACATCACAGCGCTGACATCCTTGTCTGCCTGCCCTCTCCTCTCCCTTGGACCCCCGTCCCTTGCTGTCCCTGCAGCCTGCAGATGCTGTGCCACACCGCCGACCTTTCCCTCAAAGGCATGCTGCCAGGGGGCGTGGCTGAGCAGGTGCGCCGGGCAGGCACGCATCGCAGCAGAGCGCCCCCGGCCGCCGCCAACGGCCTGGATTGCAGGCCGAGGTTGCACCTTGCCGCCCTGGCTGTCTGCAGGGGCAGCTGCTGCGCACCCTGCACGGCACGATAGAGCCGTCGCTCCCCAGCCTCGAGCCGCTGCACCTGGCCACCGCGCTGTGGGCCTATGCCGCGGTTGGGGTGGCCGGCGACTGGACGGATGCGCTGCTGCAGCAGGTGCGGCAGGGGCTGCCTGTGGGCTGCGGGCAGGCACAGCAAGAGGGCCGGGTGCCTGCCGTGGGGCCTGCCTGCCTGCCTGCCTGCCTGCTTGCTTGCTTGCTTGCTTGCTTGCTTGCTTTGTGTGGAGCTAGCAGGTCCGGTCACACTTTCCCGCCCACGTACAACATCTCAGACCCGTGCGTGCCTCCCATGCACCTGCAGGTAGCTGAGCGGGAGCTGGGGCTGGGTGCGGTACGGCTGCAGCGGTACAACACCAAGGAGCTGACCAGCCTGCTGTACGCCTACGGACGACTGTTGAGGTTGGTGGGGCAGGCCTCGAGGGCTCTCCAGGCAGCCCCGCCTGCAGCCATTCCCTCACTTCTTGTCTCCCTCCCGCCCCTCTCTGCTCATGCAAGTGCTCCCTGCTGGTTCCTGCAGGCGGTGCAGCCCCGAGGTACAGCAGTACGGTGCCAGCCTGGCGGGGGAGCTGGTGCAGCGCTGGGACTCCCTGCCCTACATCAAGTCCTCCTTCTCATCTGCAGACTTTGCCGACCTGGCAGAGGCGTGCGCCGCGCTGTTTGGGCGCGGCAGCCGCAGCAGCGGTGCCAGCAGCAGCTCCCCAAGCAGTGGTCCCAGCAGCAACAGCCCAGATTCCAGCAGCAGTGGCAGTAGTGGCCGTGATACCAGCAGCGGCCGGGATGCCGGCAGCAGCTCAATCAGCCAGGCGGAACCAGTGCCGGAGGAGGCGGCCGCTCTGCTCAGCCACATCGCCTGGGAGGTGCGGCGCCAGCTGGCCAACAAGCACTCCCTGCGGTCCCCCTGGACGCCGCGCGACCTGGTGCGCCTGGCGCGGGCGTATGCTGCGGTGGGTCATGCCACCCAGCGCACCACACAGATGCTGGACGTGCTCAGCAGCTTCTGCGTGCAGCGCATCCGCTGCCGTCACCTCAACTGCGTCAACCGGCCCTCGGACCTCACGGGTGGGTGGGCAGGCACCCTGGGATGGGGGTGGGGGTGGTGCAGGCGCCTGCTGCTGTTGGTGCCGTTTCTTGCTGCAGGCTCAGGGGGCCTGGCGCAGCCACAGGCTGACAGGCCACCTGGCACGGCCTGGCTGGATGCTGCCATCCCAAATGCGGGCCCTGTGCCTGGCCGTGCCCCTGCCCTGCCGAGCAGGTCTGTTGGAAGCGTATGCCGACCTGCGGCACTCCACGGTGGCCGTGCCCGAGCTGCTGGCCGCCGTCGGGGACCAAGTGCGGCGGGGGGCAGCGGCGGCGGCGGTGGGTACGGCAGCAGGAGGTCTGGCGCCCGCCCAGCCACAACAGCAGCAGCAGCAGCAATGGCCGCAGGCGGGACCCATAGAGTGCTTCTCCCTGGCTGGCGTCACCAGCCTGCTTGACAGCCACCTGCGGCTAGGCTACGCGCCGCCGCCACTGCTGCTGCAGTGCCTGGCCCCTCAGATCCGCCGCCAGCTGCCCCACAGCGCGGCGGCCGACGTGGCGGCCCTGCTGCAGCTGCTGGCGGCGGTGCCGCTCAGCCCTGGGGCGGCCATGGTCGGGCTGCTGCTGGGGCGGGTGATGGATGAGGCGGGCGGCAAAGCAGCTGGCGGCGGCGAGCTGGTGGCTGCAGCACAGCAAGCTGCCGACACGCTGCTGCTGAGCGACACCAGGCGCAGTTGAGCATTTCCTCCTGCCTTAGAATCGATCCTCGTAGCTGCATGCGTCCATCCCTGTTTGCTGTTTGTGAGCCTACGGCCGGCTTGGACACCAGCGGCATGGATCCCTCCGGTGTGGGCAGGCATTAACTGCTCTTCGTTGGGCGGCGAAATCGATGAATAGCAGCGTAAGGGGCGATTGGCTGCCAGCTGCGGCCTAATTGGCAAGTTGCCACCACAGCGCGGCGCAGCGGCAGCGCCCTGCCAAAATCTCAAAGCGCCACCTTCACGACCGTCCTGCTTCGTCTGATTGATCACCCCGTCTTGCCTGGCATCTTGACTGGTCCCTACCGCCCGGCGAGCAGCCCTCCTTGGTGTTGGTGCCGCACCTGTCCCCTCGCACGACCTTCCTGCCAAAAAATGCCGCCATCGCAGCTGTGCTCATTGCAACCGACCCAGCAGCGCACCGCCGCTCGAGGGGAGCACTGCCGCCCCCACCGCCCGCCGCCCGCGGCCTGGGCGCGGCTGCAGCCCGCTGCCGGCGCCACCAGGCGTCGGCTGCTACCACCGCAGGCAGCCGATTCCACTCAGCAGGAGGCGGGCAGCTCCTCCAGCAGCAGCAATGCAGCACCAGGTGGGTCCCTCGCCGCTACGTGGAGCCCCACACCTTCCGCTTCGACCTCCGCTCATGCGCTACCTACCTGCCACCTCCACTGCAGGCCTTGTGGAGGCCAAGCAGGGCCTGTTGAGCGCGGTGGCAGGGATCCAGCGGGGCAGCGAGGCGCGCGGGATGCAGCGGGGGGCCATCGAGGAGGCGCAGGCAAGGCTGGCATGGCCTGGTGCTGGAGGCATTGCTTGCCCGTCCTCAGCAGCTGCTTTGCCTTCTTTTCAGCGCGTTTCCCCGGCTGCTTGCTGCCCCTGTGGCACAGCCCCCGCCCACACCTCCTAGCCTGCCTGCCCGCCTCCTGCGCTTCGCCTGTCCGGCAGGTGGCGGTGGAGGGGTACGGGAGCGGCGCCGAGCTGGACTTTGGTCTGCTGGAGGGCAAGTGGCGGCTGGAGTACACCACAGCGCGCGACGTGCTGCCGCTGGTGGCGCCTCAGCGCCTGCCCGCGCCGCTGCAGGTGCGTTACGCCTGCGTTCGCCGTTGCCGCTGCAGCATCAACGCTGGCCAGCGTTCAACGCTGCGTCAGTCGGTGTGGCAACGGGTGCTTGGCACCATGCCTCTACCTGCCCGGCACCTGGACCGTGCTGCCACCCATGCCTTCCCCGTTCAATCCTTGACCCATTCATCCTCGCATGCACTCTCACCACCTCCACCGCTACCGCACACCTGCACCCGCAGGTCGGCCGCATCTGGCAGCAGTTCTCCTCGCTGGAGGAGGGGCGGGTGCAGAACATCATCGAGGCGCACCTGCCGCCGCTGCCGCTGCTGGGCGCCGCGGGGCTGGGCCTGTCGCTGGTGGTGGAGGCGGGGTATGAGGCCCGCACCGCGCGCAGCATAGCCCTCACCTTCAGGTGAACATGGGGCGGGCGCGCCTGCTGACTCTATGGATGAGTTGGGCGGGCAGGCGACCTGCTTGCGGGCCTGCTGGTTGCTGGTCGGCCATGAGGGAGCCTGCAGGAAGGGCCATGCTCCCACGTCGGGGAGCTGCCTTCGCCTGCCTGCATGCTGCCCTTGTGCTCGACGGGGGTGCGCCACCGCTGGCGCCCGGCCGGTGGGCTGCATGCAGGCAGGCTGGCTTTCGCGACGTGGAGCTCAGCCCTGAGCTGCAGAACCTGCTGGCCTCCCCGCTGCTGCCGCGCGGCTGGTGGAACCAGCAGCTGCTGCTGGCGCTCAAACAGGTGGGCGGCGCTGGGCCCTGGCTGTGCTGGGCTGCTGGAGTGAGTGCCTGCCCAACAGCGCCTGACGGCATACCATCCCAGCACGCTGGGCCTCGCTCGGCGTGTTCCCCTGGTGCAGCTGTCGGGCAGCGTGCCGCTGACCTCTCGCCTGCCGGGCACCACCAGCGACCAGCAGCGGCCGGTGGGCCTCAACTACATGCTCACATACCTAGGTGGGGCCTGGGCGGATCCGGCAAGGGCGCCTGCCGGCAGCGGCAGCCCTTCCGCATTGCTTGGTTGCCGCTCTTCATCCAGCCTGCCCCTCTGCCGGCCGCCGCAGACGAGGACATGCTGATCGGGCGGGCACAGGGCAACGGCGGCGTCTTTGTCTTCACGCGGGATGCGGAAGCGCAGGAGGCAGCGCACTAGGCGGCCCCCTGCAAGGCAAATAGCATCCCTCTATGGCATGTTTGATTTGAGGAGCATGTTTAATTCACTGATCACTCAACATGGAAGTGTGCACACTGGGCGCACAGCGCGGCGGCAGGCGGGGCGGGTTGATGTGGCGCCGCCATACATGCCATCGGCCATTCTCGCCCCTGGCCAGCATCCGCACACCGCCTGCACACCAGCAGAGGAGCGAGGCCTCTCCGCAAGCGCACAGCCATCTTGAACTTGTGATCCGCGACAGCCCGGCCCGCCTGCCTCGCTCGGTGGCGTGCGGCAACCTGGCAGCTCCCGCCATGGCGCCCCTCACGGTGGCCGGCATCCTGCAGGAGCTGGACGACCTCGTGGGCGACCAGCTGCAGGTGTTTTGGGCGCGCCGCGCTGCTCCTGGGCAGCGAGAGAGCAGCAGGAGATCTGGGGCCGGGCGCAGCACTGGCCTGGGCCGCCGCTTGAACGACCGCCGCCTGCCCCGCCGCCACGCTGCACTTGCCGACCCCGCCAGCTCCCCTCCGCCCCGCAGGTGGTCACCTACAAGTGGCTGGGCCGCCGCTTCAACGTGCCCTACGACACCTCCAAGCGCATCCTGTTTGAGTTCCTCACCCGCCACCCGCAGGCAAGCCACACGCCGTCGCAGCAGCAGCGCGTGTTTCCTCGCCGTCGGCCAGGCCTCTGGCACTGGCACTGCCTGCTCACCCTGCTGCCTGGCCCCCCTCTCGTTTCTCCTGCCCTGCAGAAGATCAAGGCCACCTTCCTGCTCAGCGGCTGGGCCAGCGAGGCGGGGGAGGCGGCGCGGCATGTGGTGCGCGTCGTGGAGGGGCAGCAGGTGCACTGGGGCAAGTGGGGACGAGGCCCGGGTGTGCCCGCATGACAGGCGGCCGGCGAGCCTGTTGCACGTGTTTCGGGCACGCTGCTGGTGATGCCGGGGTTGCAGGCAGCGTCCCCAGCCCGCACGCACCTCTCCCCGGCCCCCCACTCCCCGCCTCGGCCCTGCTGCCCGTCGACCTGGTCCGCTGCTGCCGCCCTGCTGCCCGTCGACCTGGTCCGCTGCTGCCGCCCTGCTGCCCGTCGACCTGGTCCACTGCTGCCGCCCTGCTGCCTCCCTGCTGCCGAGCGCAGCTGGAGGCGGAGAAGGCGCGGCTGGATGTGGTGACCGGCATGCACGTCTACTCGGTGCAGCCGGGGGTGCCCAAGGTGGGGACCTTGGAGGGGTGTGCAGGGTGTGCTGCGCTGCCTGTGCCTGTGAACCCGCGCTGCCTGTGCATGGAGACAGCAGCAGGGAACAGGCGGCGGCATCAACCCCGCCTACCGAGCCTACTGCCCCACCCCCTGCCCCCCAAGCTGCCCCCTCCACCCCAGCAGGACGCGGGAGACCTCTACAATGCCGACTACGCACAGACCGAGGCGCTGTTCCGCAAGCTGCTGGCCAGCTCGGCGGGTGCGGCGCGGCGGTGTGCAGGCCGAGGGGCGGCCTTGCTGGGCCTGCGCGCACGCGCCTAGCTGCCGCCGCACCTGCAGGCTCCTGGCTCCTGCGGGCGCACTGCGGGTGCCGCCCCCGCAGGCCCTCCAGATCCAGATCGTCCCTTGGCCTCGCGGGCTCCCACCCCCGCCTGCCCCCCTTGCCTGCCTGCCCCGGTGCAGGCGAGGCCGAGGCCAACCCCCTGGCCTCCAACCTGCTCAACGCCGTGCAGTGCCCCGGCATGCGCTTCGACCCAGCGCTGGCAGCCCGCCGCCCCAGCCCCGCCTCTGCCGACGCCGGCTCTGGCGCGGCAGCGGCCGCCAAGCCCGCCCAAGCCAGACCGGCGCCTGTCCCAGCGGCAGCCGCCGCGCCTGCGGCGGCCCCACCAGCGGCTGCAGCCAAGGGCAGCCCGCCGGCTAAGGCTTCCGGCGGCGGCGGCAAGAAGCCCAGCCCCGCCGAGGGCGGCAAGAAGGCCAGCGGCGGCGCCTCCTCTGGCGCCGGGCTGTCTAAGATGACAAAGATGTGGGGCAAGGCGGAGGCCAAGGATAAGGAGAAGGCGGCAGCCGCCCAGCAGGCCTCCGTCGCGGCAGCAGCAGCAGCAGCAGAAAAGCGGAAGGAGGAGGAGGAGGCTGCAGCGGCGGCAGCAGCGGCCGCTGCGTCCTCAGATCCATTCGACAGCGAGAAAGAGGAGGAGGTTGTGCTGGGCAAAGGTGGGTGCCTCGCGTGCGGGTGGGCGTCAGCGGGGGCTAGGGCCTCTTGCTCTGTACGCCTGGCAGCAGGCGGCGAAGCCCGCTTGAGCAGGCGCCGCTTCACAGCCAGCGTGCCTGCAGCCTGCTGCAGCCCGTGCTGCTCGCCTCTCTCTTTTCCCGCCTCCCGCACGGCTACGGCGCTCTCTGCTGTGCAGGCAAGAAGTCGCGGCAGCTGCTGGACGATAGCGAGAGCGAGGAGGAGGAGCAGGCGCCTCCACCCGCCAAGCGCGGCAAGGCCAGCCAGCCCGCCGCTGGCGGCAGCAAGAAGGCGGCGGCTGCTTCGGGCGAGGGCGGCGGCAGCAAGAAGGGCGGCGGCAAGCGCAAGAAGCCTGCCAAGGCACCGGAGGAGGGCGAGGGGGAGGGCGGCGAGGAGGCGGAGCAGCAGCCGCCAGCTGGCCCAAAGTACGGTACCGTCAAAGTGCGGGACCCGGCGCCAGGTGCGGGACGGCATGGGTGAGCGCGGCCTGGTTGTTGCTGCCGCTACCTGCACCGGCACGCGCTGCTGGCACTGCTGTGGTGCAGCCTGCCCCCGGCTGCGCCTCACTGCGGCCTGTACTGCCCACGCCTGGTACTGGCCCCGCAGGCGCCAAGCGGATGCGGCTGGTGCAGAAGATCTCTTACAACAGCGACGGCGAGGAGGTGACACGTGAGTGGCAGGCGCTGCGTTGACCTGCTGGTTTGCTGCTCTACCGGTACTGCCTGCTGTGCCCTCAGTATGACCAAAGCAGGACTTGTTGGATATGGGGCCTGCCGAATGTGGCGCCCACGGCAAGCGCATGCTGCCTGCCCGCACGTGCCGTGCTGCGCCTTCCTGCAGCAGTCTAAAGGTTGCTGCTGGTGCTGCGGCTGCAGAAATGGTGGAGGAAGAGGCGCTAGAGGATGAAGGTGGCCCGCCCCCCGACGTGCAGCGGCAGCAGCCCGCGGCGGCGGCACAGGCGCCCAAGCAGCAGGCGGCGCCCGCCCCCAAGCCAGCACCTGCCAAGACTTCGGGAGGCGGTGAGGCGCGGCACCTCTGCAGCAATCATGGCCCTCATTCCGCTGGCCAGCTGGCTCCCGGCAGTCAAAGAAGCAGCCTGAATTGTATCCGCCCCCTGCTCCATACGGCCTTGCAGGTGGCAAGAAGGGCGTCAAGGCGCCGCTGCCAGGGCAGCAGGGGATCATGAGCTTCTTCGGCAAGAAGTGATCTTCATTGCCACATGCTGCAACAGCCCAACCTGGAAACGCGCATGGAGCCGAGGAGGGCAGGACCGCACGCAGCTGTGGCAGCAGGGCATGCATGGGCACCCCACCGTAGCTTTGCGCTGGGATGATTGCGGTTGATGAAATGCATGCAACAAGAGCATAGGAAACTTGGCAGGACAGGCCTCAGAAAATGAAAGCAGAAGTAAATTCGTCCTCATAAAAGGGGGGCTCGTCAGCTGTTTTCACCTGCAGCTGCGGCCGGGCCTGCGTCAATCGAAGGGCCTCGACAAGCACGCGGTGATCCACAGAGTAGTCGTTTCCGCTGCCCAGCCGTAGTTTCTGTAGTGAGGGGTGTGTGCGTGCCCACCGCCAAAAATCGGCCCCATCGGCGCATGAATAATATCTCGCAATCATTGCCCAGACATGCTCCAAATGGGTGAAGTTGGCCAACACATCGGCGCTGGGGTGTAGCAGCTCCCAGTCCGCCGCCAGGCACCGCAGGCTGTCGTGCCAGGGCCCATCCGGCAAGGCGTGCAGACCACCATCTTCAGATGACCATCTTTGGATCAGGCTGCACCGCTGCAATCGGCTGAGGCCCGCTACTGTATCAAGCACGCTAATGTCAATCCCAGAGCTCTCGACAATGGACAGGCTGGTTAGCTGCTGAAGATGACGGAGCGCTCTGTCCAGGGTTGCGGTGGCCAGTTCCGGCTCGCCCTTGTCGAAGCCTGCACGGGTCAATGCCTGCACAGAGAAGCAACCCCAGTGGCCCCAGTTGCAACACTCGCAGTGCACACCAATCAGCTGCCAGGCGGTACGCATGCAGCTCATCAGCCGAACATCGACCACCTCAGGTTGCGAAACCGGGCGCTCACCAGTTCTTCCAGTGCAGTCAGCTGGGACAGGCAGGTTGGCAGGAATGGGCAGTCTGCCAACTGCAGGTGTTGCAGCCTGGAAAGGCGGGGGAGGATGGTGAAGCCTTCGGCGGGCACTGGTCCCAAATCTAGGCTGAGAGTGGTCAAACTGCTGCAATGTCCAATCTGCAGGTGTGAAAGCAACAGCTGCGTAAGCTGAAATGTCATCAATGCACACCTCCCCATCTTTCCAGGGCAAAGTTGGTCCTGCGTCCATGTTGCCATGCCTACTTGCCTGCTGCGGGAGGGTGCTGCCTACGCAATCGCGATACGCCAGGAACTCAAGGTTTGGAGGTAGCCGTACTGCCGGGTCAATCTCTACTCTGCCGCTGATACTCATGCGCCGTAGTGCACTGAGGCCGCCCAGGCTGGTGACCAGGCGCAGTAGCCTGTGCCCTGTGCCCAGCGAAAGCTGACGCAAGTTGGCCAGGGCTGGGGCCCACGCAGTGACATAGAGCGCCACGGGCGGGGATCCAGGACCAGGCCGCAGATCCACTTAGAGCTCCTCCAGAGCACGGTGTGCTGAGCAGGCAGTGAGGCAGCTGGCCAGCAGCTGGGCACCCTCGTGTGCTTCACCATTACCAGAGAAGGAGATGGACAGGCTGCGCACACGCTGGGAGTAGCGCAGCAGAAAGGCGCACAGGGAGCGGAGGAGAGGCAGGAGGCGAGCGCCAGTGTTTTTGGTCTGGAAAGTGACGGTGCGGCCAAGCTCAGGGGCGTGGCTGCATCGATTCCAGCGGCTGCACACGAGCGCGGCTTTGTGTCTGCGGCAGGGAGGGCGGCAGCAGGGTGGCGGAGTTGGTGGTGCTGGCAGCGGTGGCTGCGGGAACTCAGCACCCAGACATTAGGCAGCGCCACACCTGTGCTTGGTGTCGAGAAGGCCCAGGACGCGAGAGACGAGGCCATCCGGGAGGTCGATAAAGCTGGGGCGCTGTGGCGCTGGGGCTCCCGGAACCATTGTGGTGCGTCACTGATCAGGAGGTGGGGTTCATGGCCCCACCGCCATGGAGGAGCCACTAGTTGCTGTCATGCTGCGTGCTGGGAGCCAACCTGATCAGGCTGGGACACATCAACCCAATCCGCTGTGTCTGCAAGCCTCCCACTTCCACTATGCTCCGGGTGTATTTCTGAGCGGCCCTCCAGGCCCAGGGCGCGCCAGTATGGACCTCTTCTCCGATGAGCTTGTCTCGGAGGTCCTGGGCCTGCTGCCGCCCGCAGACAGGCGAGGGAGGGCGGGATGGGGCGGGTGCTTGCGACGATAGGGCCCCAGTCGGCGTGCGCTGCCGCCTAACCGTTCTGCTGCCGCCCGCCGCCGCGCCCTGCACCGCCCTGCACCGACCTCTGCCCGTCGCCCTACGCCCTTCTCCCTGCCCTTCCTGCCCCTCTGTTGCAGGCACGCGCTGTCTGCCGTCTGCATCCAATGGGACCGCGTGGTGCGCAGCATGCAGCGCCGCCTGTACATTGACTTTCAGCAGCAGCCCGGCGCCAGCATCGGCGCCAGCGGCGGCGGCGGCGAGGGGAGCGGTGGGGAGGAGGGCGCGAGCGACGACGAGGGCGCCGCAGCGGCAGGCTCGCTGCTGGAGGGCGCCGCGCTGCGCACCATTGTGGCTCTGGTCATCACGGGCCTCAAGCTGCCGACCCAGGAGGAGGTCTTGGAGGAGCTGGCGGAGCAGCTGCAGCCCACGCTGACCCAGCTGGCGCTGCACTGGTGGCATGACCGCTGGTCTCCCGGCCAGCTGCCGCAGCAAGGCCCGCCGTCGCAGGCGAGTGCTTGGTTGGACGCTGGCTGGGCAGCCTGCTCAGCTCAGTTCGCCCCGCCGTGCATGGCTGAGCGGCTTGCATGCCTGCCGGCCTCCTTCCCTACCAGTACAAAGCCTCGCTTCCCACCAAGCCACCGCCTCCCCGGGACCCGCCCCGCCCGCCTGCAGTGGATCGGCAGCCTGACGCTGCTCAGGCGCCTCACCCTGGGGCGCTCACCACAGGTGCCCGAGCAGCTGACGCAGCTGCAGGCCCTGACCCACCTGGGGCTGCACCGGTGCGGGGACGGCAGGGAGGGGCACTGGAGCGTGCCCGCCGGCATCACCGCGCTCGGCCAGCTGCGGGAGCTGCAGGCGTGGGGGACCAGCCTGGAGGGAGACATGGGCGCGCTGGGCTGCCTGCCCCGCCTGGAGAGGCTGGACCTGCACGAGTCGCATGTGGACAGCGTGGGGTGGCTGCAGGTGTGCCGCAGCAGCGGCTCGCGTTGTTCTGGTGGCTGCCGGCGCAGCCAGCGGCGGCGGTGCTCCGGGTGTGGCTCCTTTGCAGCGCCTCACCCACGCCTTGCAAGGCCTGCACGGTGTGCAGTCCTTTCGAGCTGCTCACGACCCCTCGGCGCCCGCCGCTCCCGTGCGCCTCCCCCCCTCTTCCTGTGCAGGGCCTGACCTGGCTGACCTTCCTGCGGCTCAACAACCTCAACAACTGGGTCACGGTGCACGCGGTGGAGGCGTGGGATGCCGCGCTGAGGCCCCTCACGCTGGTGGGTCCCCCGCGGGGCTGGCCCGCTTGGCTTTGGGGGTGCCTCCTGCCTGGCCTCCTTGGCTGTCTGGCTGGCGTCTGCCGTCTGGCTGGCGGAGCGTGCACCTGCCTGGGTCCATCACCCGTCGCCCACATGCACACAAGCTCCATCCCTCCTGCCCGCTGAGGCATTTCACCCTGCGCACATCGCCTGCCTCCATCCTCCCCTCCTTCCTCCCCACCCACCCCATACCCCCACACCCCCCTGCCTTGCCGCAGCTGCGCCACCTGGACCTGGAGGCCACCAACCTAGAGCTGCTGCCGCCCTGCGCGGCGCGCCTGACCGCCCTCACCGCGCTGCGCCTCGCCTTCAACACGCTGCGCAGCCTGCCGCCGGGGCCCTA